GTTTTTCTTCTAACAATAATTAAGAATATCAGTAAGATAAGAATTTAATTTATTATTGACAACTTTTTGCATTTGAGAGTTAATGTCAAAAAGCTCTTTATACGACAAGCTATCAAGAGAACTAAAAGCCTAAGAAAAATTAGTATGCTGAATTTTTTTTGATGATGCCATGTTAAAATCACAAAGCTAGTAATGACATAGTAAATCATTGTATTAAACCCCTGGTCAAGATAATTTTTCTGTCCTTTTTGCTCATTGTCAAATGCCAGAAATAAAAGACCTTTGGGCAAAGGTTCTTCATGTTTTGACAATTCTTCTAACCACTTTTGGAACCAATATTCACTTCCTAAATTTGTGATATAGTTGTCGATATTGAGAATCATTCTTAATTTTGCAAGTAAATATTTAATAGCCAAAAGAGCAAGTTGAACTTCTGATACATATTTATCATGACATACTCCATATATTAAATTAACAGCAGTAGCAGTCTTAAAAAGCTTTTCTTGACTTAAAATATCATCTCGAGCATTTGAAACTAGGGTTTTTATGAATTTGGCAACAACTTGATTGCATCTATTAAGCCATTCACGTGAACTATACACCATAATATTTTCAATAAAAAACTTAGCATTATTATGAATTAAGGATTCTATATCATTGAACAACGATATATGTTCTAAATGTGAATTGGGGTAAAATTGAAATTAAAATGTTAAATAGTATTTGAATTTAATTTAATAACATTAAAATACTACTGACCTGCCTTTGCTATTTTAATAACTGCATTAACCCATTTGTGTTGATTAGAAAACCTTGACCTCCATTGTTCAAAAAGGTCTTCATTACACTTACTTTATTCATCATAAAAATCTTGAATTTTAGCTATACTATTATGAGCCCTTCGTAATTTACTTTTCAACTTCTCTATTTCATTCTTTTGTTTGTCTATATATTGCCGCATTTGTTCAACTTGGTAATTGAGTTCTGTTATTTCTTGCGACTTCTGCTAATTCTCTAGCTTAAGATAGTCTAAATATTGTTTAATCTTATCAAGTTTAACCATTGGACCAGCAATATTAATACTTAAATTATTCTCATTCATGTCAAGAGAGGGTGTTTGATTTTCTTGAGCAGAACCTACAAGATGCTCATAGAACTGATTATTAATAATGATTTGATTGTAATGTATTAAACAAATTGAATGTATGTCAAGACAGAGATTAGCAAGCCCAGGAAGGTAATTATGATAAAGTTTAATTTTCTTAGCTGCTAGTGGGCCATTCGCATTTTGCCACTTTCCTTCCCTACAAAGACTTAACCTGATGTCCTTACAAGTTTCGACCAAATCTGCGAATATACATTTATGTTCTGATGCTTTTTCTTTCTAGTAACTAGACACTAAAAAAAAAAAAAAATTATAATTTTAGTTTACAATCCGTTTGACAATGCGCAAAGAAACTTGTAATTTTAAGCTCTCATTTACTTTTTTCCAAATGGCTTATAAGAAGGGATTAAATAGAATTAAATAATATAGATGTTTAATACTATCTATTCATATATCATTTAGTATTGAATGAAATATAAGAAATATGCAAAACCCCAAAATAAGTATTATATATAAAAAATGTCTAAGAGCCAATCAAATTCATGAAATTGTACATCAATCATTCTAGAATGCGATTTTCTAATTTGGTAAATCATCGAACTGAACTAGGTACTAAACCTTTAGTATCTGTTTTATCAAACTAGTCTTTACAATAGGGCCATTAAAGATTCAGCTACTTCTTTATTTAGGTCTTCTTAAATGAACTTTTTGTTATCCAATTTTAATAAATTTACATGACAATAAGAACTTATCTAGTGTTAGTACTGCCTGATTTGCATTTTCTACATAACTTCAAAATTACACAAATGCTTCATGACCTGCTAGTCATACTGGTGTGACTGCCATTACAGATATCCTAATCTAATTGTTAGTAACAGTTGCCATAATACAAATATTATATAGATGATTATCCAAATTTTTGCAGTCAATGAGATTTGAACACCCAACTTACCATTTGGAAGGTTGACAATCTGACCACTTTACTAGGTCTCTACTCCCTAGAAAGCCTTTTGATATTACATAATATATATGTATAAATATATTAAGAATAAGGAATAATAACAATTAATATAAAATTGGTATTAAATAAAGAAAAAAAAATAGTAGAATTAGGGAATTAAAAGTTGTTTAATAATAGAAGATGTAGATAGAATATTACTAATTTTTTTGAAGTATTTAGTAGAGATAATTAAAGAGATTTGCATATTAAAGAGACTAAGAGTGATAGATTAGGTAATTTTATAATAGCAAAAGATAAAATTAGTATGAAATTGATCATATAAACATGTACCAATAGTTGATTGAGTTGAAATTTTAAAATAATATTGTTTTTTCTTAAGACTTTCATATTTATTAGGATTAATATTTGGTAGAAGAACACAAAGTAATTTGGAAGTTTTCTTATTTATACTAAGTCCATAATGGTCTCTATATTTAAAATAATAATAATTTATATTATAGGAGTTTGGTTTAGTTGTTATAAGAATCAGCATTTTTAGATATTTTGTTAAATAAAAAAAATAAAATAAAAAAGTTGTAAATATTTGATTTTGCAAGAGTAGTAAATAAATACAGGAGTTTTAATATAAGGTGTAGCTTAATATAGATTTGTGTAATTTTATGTAATAAGATATTACAAAAATTATAATTTATAATAACTAAAATAGTAAATGTGACTAAGGCCATACTAATTTGATTCTCTGTTTAACATAACATAGGATAGGCTGTAGGAGGAGGGTGGGGCATTGTAAAAAAAACACAAAAAAAAAACCTGTAATTTTATTGGTTAGGAATAATGTAAAAAATATTGAATACACATAATTACTAATGCTGCAATTTGATTGGCTAATATGATGTGTTTTGACTCATATAAAATTCTAAAATCAAGAAGAAGGGGTTATGTTAAACAGATAATCAAATTGGCATAGCCTAAATAATAATCATCAGTATAACATAATATTGGTACAAAATATAATTTTTGTATAAAATTAATTAGAACCAAATATAAAAAAGAGTAGATTGTATATTAAATAAGATTCTATTTAAGAATATATTAGTAAATTTAATATAAATTTAATTAAATATGAATTAAAAAGTAATCTGATGTTATATAAAAAACATATAAGAATAAGCAAACTAGAATAAGGACAAAAAGTAATAAAAAAAAAAGAATTTTTAAAGAAAATAAAAATTTAAATTTGGCTATAATTTAGTTAATATTAGATCAAATATCTTTATTTAGAGCTTTTTTTGACTAGAAAAATGTACTCTGCACTCTTACTTAAGAGTATAAAGTAGGTTTTAATAGTAACTTTCGTGTAACAATTAAAATTGTAAATTCTAAAGGCCAAAGATTGTCAGTATGTTTTTTTAATGAGTTTGAATTCTAAAGACTTGAAACTTTTAAAATAAATATAAAATTTAGTGCTAAACAAGTTTAGTTAAGGGCTAAAAATAAGTTAACTTAATAAAATAAATAGTTATAAATGTTTTTGTATAAATGAATTTTTAGTTAAGATTTGTATAAAAGATTTGCAGAGAGTTTATCAAATAACCAATGATAATCTTTATAATAAACAAAATAAAAAATTTATATTTTTTCTATAATACAGAAATGGGACTTGCTTAAATATAAAACTTTTTTTTATTAACTAATTTTTTCTTATTGCTTAATTAAAAGTTGTAGAGCTAAATTTTGTAATTCTAATAGTAGTAAAATCATTAAAATTAGTTAAATAAATCATAAAGTATGAGTATTTTTTAATTATTTACTATAGAGTTTTTTAAAAAAAATTGAAGCACATGGCATTCCACTTACTATTAAGATAACTAGTCACATGTCTGCTGATTTCTATTATAAAATTTGTATTCTTTAACTACAAACTACTAATTAAATATTAATTTTATTATTAATTTTTAATTTTATTGAATTTTACAAAATTTTATAAATTATTTTACAATAATTCAAAATATTTTATTATTTTCAAAATTTTAAATTTATTTTACAATATTTTATACTCTATATAATTTTAAAATTTTATTTTACAATTTTTCAAATATTTTATATTTCACAAAAATTTTAAAAATTATTTCATAATTTTAATTTTCATAAAAATTTTAAAATTTCTTTCACAATATTTCAAAATTTTTATATTATACAAAATTTTTTAATAGAAAAAACCAACAAATTTAGTCTTAAAAAAAAGTTTATTAGAATAAAGAATAATTAAATTATTGAGACAAGAAAAAATAAAAATAGAAAAAATAAAAATACATAAAGTATGATTTAACTTAATTGCAAATTTTATTTATAGTAAATCAAGACTATTTATATATAACCTTCTTGGTTATTCTGATACAACTTTTGAATTGAAATACATTTTCAACTAATATGACAGACCACCTCTAAACATTCAAAAAAGTAGCTAAAAGATGTTAGATCAAAAATTTAAGTTAAAAATATATATAACAAATATACAAAAGGTTTATAATAAGACTGCTAAAAGAAAAAAAAATAAAGTTTATCTTTATTTATTAAAATTAAATAAAAATTGTTAATTACTATCAAGTTAAAAAAAACAAAAAAACAAAATAATATTTTAACTTTATTATATAAAAACATAACATATTTGAAAAATAATAACTACTTTTTTGATATTTTTAATATAAATGAATTAAAAATAAATTTTTTGTTATCAAACACATAAAGTTTGTTGCTTTACTTCAAACAAAACAAAAAAAACAGGTTTAAAAATAAAATTTTATTATTTTTCCTACTTTATACAAAAGAATAATAAAATATTTGTTTTGCCAAATCATTTTATGTTGCTTAAAATGCAGTTTCTGTTTATAAAACCTCTAAAAACAATAATTAAAAATGATCTACTGTTGTAATTTACTATAAAAATTCATAAATGCTAATCATTTATTTTTCATAATAAAAAAATTTATTCACATGATCTGCGCATAACATAATGATCGACTGGTAATTATTTAATAATTCGAAAATAAAAATAATTTTAACATTAATTTAATAAATTGACCGGTCCTTGAATTTGATTAACCAAAAATAAAGCATATAGTTTTAGTTATTGAAGTATAATCCCGATCTCCAAATCCAAACTATGTAATAATGTCATCACTCAGAAAAAGGTTTGAGTCGAAACTCTGGCTTCAACACCAACAACATCTCCTTCTGATAGAAAACTAGTATTGACTGAATCAGAAAATACCTCCGTAATTTGTGGTAAATTTGACTCATCATCCTTTTGTTGTTGAACACTTTTATTTTTTCCAACATGAAAACTGTCATGCAAAAAAATTAGATATAATTTACAAATAACATATACAAATATTTCTCTTTTGAACCTAAAATACCTAACAGATTCTTCTTGATCTGTTGTAACTGGCTCTAATTCAAAAGTGTACTTATAACGATGAACTTTGAGTCTACTTTTGTTTTTAAAGAAAACATATTTACGTCCATATTGCCAACTGTGTTTCTCTAATTGTGAAAATTTTATTCAGATTAGCTTCAAATCTAGCCAAACGTTTTTTCAAATCATGAAAAGTAGTATATTAACTGCATAACAAACTATATTCATCGCCATCCACTATTAGATTTTCTTCTTTCAATTTTATAAACGCTACAACCACTTTCTAAATAGTGGTAGTAAAAGAAAATTAAAATTTAGATCTCGATATGGCAAAAAACTACGATAATTACTTTTACTTCGTCCTGCATTAATTGGTTACGGTTATAAAGCAATTCGCTAGAGCTATTATTTTAGGTTCAAAGGTTAAACAAAAAAAAGGAAAGCTTATATCCGTAAATCAACTGTTTCCAACAAATTGCGTAGGCTTGTATATTTTAATAGAACCTGTTTTTAGACGACACCGTTATCTGAACTACTTGATCTGACATGACAATGAGTCGAGTTTGATTAAGAACAAACGGTGATATTTCCATTTCCATTGTATTATTATCAAGGTTATTTGAGAATTAAAAATTGTGAAAATGACAAAGTTTTGCGAAAATTCACATAGCATAGCAGGCTTTCATTCTGATTGGCTAATTTTTGTAAATCATCTGATGGCATTACAAAACCTGATTGGCTAATATAAAACGAGCTCGAAGTAAAAAAATTTCAAATTCACAATCGCATTCTAACTAGTACATAGTTTAATAACGAGATAAAGTATACAATATTGGGCAAAAAATTGTAATTTGACAAACGAACACGTGCAGCGAAGCGGCACGTGAACCAATCATTTTCCGGGGAGTCATTGGCTGAGTTTTAATTTGAATAAACATGATTACATAAAAAAAAATAAGATCATAAGAGTTTGTAAATCAAAAAGAGCCATTAATTATCATTATAAAAGTCAAAAACTAACTATAGAACATAGCATGTAATTGTATTCTATATATGCTTTATATCAATTGAGCTAGATGTCACACATAAAATTTTATCATATAATTTTTATAAATTATACAAATTAATGAAATTACGTTTTTAAAAATTCTACCCAATGTTTTAGTTACAATACACAAAGTAGTTGTTAAAGTTTTAACAAATCAAACAGTACAAATAATATAAAAAACTAATATATATAGCAATATGTGACCATCTTAAAGATGAGCAATTATTTTTTCTTCTTTTATAAAATTCTTTTTGAGTTTACAAAATCTTGATATAAAAAATATCTTGTTAGATGTATATAAACAGGACTTTCAAAAAATGCATCTTTAATAGTATAATATATTATAAAAATATAAAAAAATTAAGAAAAATTATTTCTATAATATGAAAATTGTGATTTTTGCTTAAATTTTTTTTAATAAAATGAATTATTTTGTTTTATTAAAATTTTTTTAAATCAATATTTATATAATTTCTAAAATATATTTTTTTAACTTCTTATATTAGTTATATAATTGATTTTAAATTTAAAATTTTTTTTTAAATATTAAGATAAAATTATACCTTTATTTTTATTAAACTCTGTTAAATTTTTTACAAATAAAATATACAAAATAAGTTTATATTTGAATTATATATATAAATATTTTTAATTTTACTAAAGATAATGTTAATAATAACTATTGTCTTTATTATATTTTTAATTATAAATATATAACTTGTACAAAATAAATATGCAACTAGACATATATGCAACTTTTAGTTACCTATTTAAGTAGTTCATTTATAGATTTTATACTAATTGTTATATTTATAATCTACTAAAAATTATTTAATTAAATACTTTGATTCTTATATTATATCTAATAAATAATATATTAGTTTTTATATATGTTATTTAATCTAATATTTAGTTATAATAATTAAGCTGTCATCTACTAATTGAAAAACTCTTTTTGATAATCCTTCATACCAACTTTTTCCAAAAAGTCTGATCTATGAAAACTATATAGTTATTATATTTAAATATAACAAAACTCTACTTTGGAATAACTAAGGAGACTATTTACTGCATGCTTGGTTGTAACTGAAAAGAGCTGAAAAAGACTTAAACTCTTGTAAGTGAAGTCTCTTAGTAAAACATGAATACTACCAAGCAAAGAAGTAGTAGATAAGCTTTGGAGTTTTGTCAAGTACTATAAGGGCTTAGGCCTAAATAGTTACTTATTTTAATATAATATTCTATATAGTATAACTCTTATAACTTCTTTTCAAATTGGTTTTTCTTTTCACTTTTATTATTGGATTTTTCTTTTAAAATTTTTACCAAAAAGTAAAAAATCTGGCATATTTTCTCCAAAAGATTAATACTGTTTATCTTTTCAAATTTGTAACATTAGTTATAAGAAAACCACAAGACAAATATCAGACCTATGATGGACAACATGTATTAAACTTAAGAGGAAAATAAAAACTTCAATTATTTTCTCCATATGACAAATGAAATATATTATAATATAGAGATAAAGCAAATGTGAAGTATTCTTTATTTAGTATTATATAGAATTTTTTAAAGCCAAGCATGAGCAAAAATAGTGCCTTCATGTTTCTTTTTGTTCCTTTTCTTTGTTCTTTTTTTTATCTTTTCTTTTTTTTTTTTAGTTTATGTTTAGGTTTTGTAGTTAGTTCTCTCTTTTTTTATTCTCTTTTAGTTTTTTCTTTCTTATATCCTGTTATTCTTTAGATAAGAATTATAGAATTCTCTTACTTGATAATTAAAAAAGAAGAAAAAATGAATTGAAAATGAAACTAGGAAGACAATTTTGAGGCTTGTCATGAAAGAGTGAAGACCCTTTTATTATGGACTTTAAGTAGTCAGATAAGCAACTTACTTCTGTTTGAAGTAATGTGCAGGTTGCACTTAGGCACTATTAGAGTGGCCAGGTGATGCTAGACTTAGTAGTTAAGTACATCTATATAATTGCAATAGTAATTTTATAATCTTAATAAAGTACTAGCATGACTGCCTAAAGGAAAAAAATAATAATAATTAAGCTGTTACTTATTTATAGTATGTCATTTAACTATAAGACTTAGAATACTTTTTTGTTAACTAACTTACCTACTTTATAAACTATTAACAAAATTATACTTTTACAAAGTTTATTTAGATCTTAGTATTAATTTTATAACATATTCTTAGTATTTTTAATATATTTTTGCTTTGTTTTTAGACTTTTAATTCAGATTGTTTAATAGAACTATAATCTGTCTTTAGTATAAAAAGTTTGACTTGATATTTTTTTTTTAATCTAAATTCTAGTAGTATGATTAATAGTATTTTTTATTTTTTATTTATTTTTTTTTTCTTTTTAACTAGTCTTGCCAAAATCCTTTAGTATATCTATTATATTTTTTTAAATTATTGTTCTCAATATACTCCTAAATACTAAAACTCGATCTCCTCTAGTCTATACTTTTAAACTTTCTAGAAGCAACTGTCACACTGATCTCTGTTAGTATCAAAAGGCATTACCAGGCTCTATTAAGAACTGACTATTGGCATAAGTTCATATAGTATCTCTTATTGTCAGACTTTTGGTCTTACATTATGTTTTATGATTTCAGTTATTCTAAATCAGGCTTTAACTCATATTTATCACCATATGGCTTCTCAACTGCAGGTTATTTGCTATTTTCAAAAATAAGTTTGTTTTTTGGATATCTCAGGTTCCTAGTTCTGTGATGTTGCAGTTTCTCATTTTGAAAATACATCTCTACAATTGCTATCACTAAGATTCAAACTGACAACCTTGTGATTTGTGATCTCAGAGCATAACTGCTATGTTATTGGTTCTAGAAGTAAGTATTTTTTATTTAAAAATCTTTGGTTATCTGATTTTTTTATATTAGTATTTATTTTTTAAATCTGATTTTTTATAATAGTATTGTCAAAGATTTGTATTATCTTTCTACTTAGATTTTTTAAATAAGTTTTATTTTATTTAGTTTTACAGATTTATGCAATCACAAAAACTTATCTTAGATTTTCATTGTCTGATACTAATTTGTATTTTTTATATAATCAAGTTTATATAAATATCTTATAATCTATTAGTTATGCTAATATATTTATGCAAACTAATTCTTTTTGATTTACAGAATCTATTTTTTTTTATTTCTAAAAAAAGACCTCTTTTTTTGGATCTACAAATCTTTCATATGAATATTGTTATATGAATATTGTATATGAATTCTGTTATACAGCAGCATGTAAGCATTATTTATTATTATATAGTAGTGAATATTACATAAATATCAGATAGTAAATAGTTACACATTGATGAATATTATATTGCACAATAAGATTTTTCTTGCTAATGTTGGTATTATAAAGTTAAATATAATAAAAATTAAATGTCATAAATAAAGTTTCATTGAGATGGCAATTGAAAGATATTTTTAGTAATAATTTAAAAAGCAATAAAGAGCATGTTATCTGCATTATGATTACAAATAAAATCAAAATTTAAATAGACTAATAATAATATAAATAATAATAGAAATATTAATTTGATATTTGTTATACTTTAATACTATAATTATTATTGCTAAATATATATATAGCAAAAAAAAAAGCAAATCAAAATTGCTTAAATATAGAACTGCTAAAAAAGTTAAAAATGAGATACTTATATGTTATCAAAAATTTACTAATATGTATTATGTTGAATAAAATTTATTAACTTTGTGAAATTGATCTTTTAAAATATTGTTAAAACATTAATTATCATATTAATATTATTACTTAATGATAATAGTGAAGGCTTTAATATTATTACTTAAAGATAATAGCAAAGGCTTTAATATTATTACTTAATAATAATAGCAAAAGCTTTAATCAATACATCATTTTAAATTTTTTTTTTTTTGTGCTAAACTAGCTTCTTTTGAAGCTAGAACTTTTTATTCAGTATAGTTAGAATATAAAAACTTATAGCCAAGGTCTCAAAGAAGTCTTCTTATATTAGAGAGTACAACTAGTTACATATATACTTTTGGTGTCTAATTAAGTAGTTTACTAATAATTCTATACTAGCTGCCATACTTGCAACCCAACTAGGAGTGTTGCCTATTTAAACTCTTTGTACTGCAATTCTTACTGTATCACTAGATCATTTCTGCTACATAATTCAGTCAAGAAGGTTTAGATGCTTATCCATATCCTTAGGACCCTATATCTTATTTTATACAGTATTTCCTCAGAAGCATCATTATTAGAGCCTTCTGTATTCCATACATAGCTAACCTAGTTTTATATAACATGCTATAGTTACTTAACACTTGCAGTCAAAACTAACCTTAAACTGCTACATTATACTATTTTTATCTTTATAATATTCACCCAAACTCTGGTACCTATCTTTCTAACATCTTCTTCATTATCTTCTACTAACCACAACTTAGAACTGACAGACTCTTTAAATTTCCAATCCAGATGGTCTGATATGGTATATCTTAGTATCTTTTTCCTTCAGTGATTCTGACAGCC